ACACAATTCAAACACATCATTGCGTATCTCTGCCTCTGCCTGGGTCTTCCTCCCCCTTGCCTGGGTCTTCCTCCCCCTTGCCTGGGCACTCTCCACCGACAAGGGATTCTGATCCTAAAGGAAAGGGGAAGTCCTCTTCCAATGTGACTTGTCCTTCTGGCACCCAGAACCACTGCCAGTGTACCTTAGAGCCTGGAGGCTAACATCTAGGCATCCCCAGAGTGGTGGAGGTACTCATTGGCAGCAGGACAAGGCTCAAGCTCACCATGAGCCCTGCACCCAGACTGGGCTGGTGACCAAGCACTGCCCACTGCCTAGGGTTTCACTCCATTTTCTGTATTTGTAGGGCTCTCTTCATAACCCCAAATTAGATTCTGATAGCGCTAGTTCAACTCCCTGTCTGCCTTCTTTCTCCAAGTTCAACGCTGTTTACTTCAGCCTGTGTCTCTGAAGTTCAAGTATATTTAAGTATATATATATATTTGTCTGTGCAGCCTTGATTGACAAGTACAATGAAAATGCCTCATTCCTGTCTGGTCTGCATTTCATTATATTGGGCAGTGATATGCTTTGGACTGCAGAGGACAAAGGCAAAACAGATTTTTTAAAAAGATTAATTAACAGTATCTATTTGTTCATTCTATATTGAATTGTAATGGTATTTAGGGCTTATAAAATATTTGTCAAATGATGGGAGGGTAGTGAAAACTCTAATGTAGCCAATAAATCGGGGAAGCCCAAAGAGTGGTGGGCGAGTGTGTCTGCAGGTCCCGGAGCTCCAGAGATCGATAATTCAGCTCAGCCCCTGAAGCTAATTAAGAGCTTTATCTTAGCATAAAAATAAAGAGGAGTTAAAAATGCATTCCCTTCCCAGCCTTCTTCCCCCTTCATTTTTTTATTGCGATTTGCCGTTTTTCTTCTAAAAAGATTTGGGACTCTGAAGAGAGGGTGGAGTTTTATGTAAAGAAAGTGTCCTTTACCCGGAACAAAAATGCGAATAATGGTGAGGTTCAAGGACATGTTTCAACGAGAAACACTTTGTGCTCCACTAGGAAGAGGCAGGGGCACCAAATTCAGCGTCTTGGAATAATTCCCTTCCTGAATTCAAGGATTCATTTATTGAAATAAATCAGGAAGCATTGGCAGAACGGAAATCCGCTTGCTGGGTTTAAAGGGTCTTTAAAATGTTGCGAGTGCTAGATCGCAAGTCTTTTCTAAATACAAAACAGAAGAAAAGACCGCAGTGTTTCTCTTGGACTTAAAGAAAATTGCTAGGTCTCCGACTTAAGATAATTTCACGTCCGCCACAGAAAATGTGTTTAGAAAGAAACCCTGCCCGATAGCACAACGTGCTGTACATGTTTTGTTTTTTAGGAGGCTGGCGCAAAGAGAAAAGTGCTGCAGAGTGGGGCTCTGGGCTGTACGGAGCAACTAATTTGTCCCTACTGCCGCTCTGGACGTTCTCTTTCCCTCCTGCTTTTCCAAGATGGATCCTAAAATTTGGGCTCAAAAGCTTTGCTTGTTTGACAATTATCAGTTTCTCTGATTTTATTTATTGCTTCAGATTTGGGCATGAAAATATATCTTTTTCCTATTTACTGTTTGAACTCAGTGTGAGGGGAAAGATCCCATTATATTTCCTATCCACACAGACATGTGGATATTTAGACCAGACCACATACAACTGGGGGACGCATAAAAGAGATTTATTGGTTAATTTACGCCACCTAATACACATGTAAACCCCAGTAAGCCAAATCTGCTGAGGGAGCCTCGGTTACAGCGTAAAATAAGAACCACGACCCCTGGGTTCGAGTTGCCCTGCCCTGCCCAGCCCAGTGATTCCTTTCTCCACCTGAGCAAGGAAGAAATGAGAGCTCTCTTCTGCCTTGCCCCAGCCTGTGTGCAGGAAAAACTTTTCTCTTCTTTGCTTTCCTCTTTTGGCCACCACTCTGCTCACAGTCTCAGTTCCCCAAAGCCCCCTGTCCCCCGAAGTTGTTCTCAGGGTCGCTTCTGAAAAGCGAGTTGAGGGGTGGGGGCTGTCGGTAATCAGGAAAAGTTGGCTTATTATTATTACTGCCTAGGAGTGGTTTGCTCTTGGGGGGGCTTTTTTTTTCATATGCAGTAACTTGCTATATCTGGGGAAATTTCACTTTCTATCATGTTTCAAGGGTCAGGTTTCCCCCTCCCACAAAAGGAAACCTCCACCCAAACCAACCGAAATAGAATTCGAAATGACCTGCCTCTGCCCTGCTGTTCACAAAGCCCCCAGCCTCGTCCTCTTGGGGGCATCTGAGGTCCCTGCACCCCGTGGAGCAAGGACACCCCCTCAGAGTCGTACACTCGCGCTGGGCCGGGCTGCCCCAGGAAGGGCTCCACCGCCCGGGGTTTGGGCCTGGCTGAACCGCCTCAGGTCGGTCCCTTAACGAGCATTCCCCCTCCCCACTTCTCGGTTGATGATCTAATTGAATTATGCCTTTTTGTTCCAGGGACTACAGAGCACGTGCTGGAGGCAATTAATTATCGGAATGTGGCCATATCAAAACGGACAGTGGGCACCCGGTAGGTCAGCGGCGGCAACGTCCCCCTGCCCTGCCCCAAAAGGGGCAGGCTAGGCTCGGTCAGCAGCCCTCCTTACTCAGCCCCTCGCCCAGATGCCGGCCCTGACTCCCAAACGCTAAAGGCCCCCGGTTCTCGGGGTACCTGGCGGGGCTCCCCGGAAACCCTCGCATCAACGCTGGCTGGGCTAGAGCTCGACAGCCGCCCCTCCCCGCCCCCGAGCCTCGAGAACCGCTCTCCTTTGGACTGGCGCCGTGAGGAAATTCAAACTTGTTTCAAACCAACTACACGCTCAGGGTCCGTGGGGGTTGGTGGGAGGTGAAGAGAGGCAGAGAGAAGGGAGCAGATAAAGGGGAAAGTGAAAAGAAAGGGGAAAAAGAAAGAAAAGCAATCCTCCCTTTTTGTAAACCTGACTCCAGGGAATTCATTTGCATGATTTAGGCGTATTTGTTCTTCTCTGGACCACCCCCCCCCCACTCCTCCCACCCCGGCAAAGAAACCCTCTGCTGAGCGACACTGAAACCGTACTTGGGGGGCCTATTTTCAGTAGACGTAATAATTTAAGTCAGCAGCGAACTCACCTTCCAACCTGGGGAGAGAGCTCTGGATGTAGAGGGAGAATTGGGGCGACTTTGATGGGTGGGGGTGACTACGGAAGGTATGCTACCGACAGGGTTTCCCCCCAGCAAACTGGCAAAGAAAGAAGGTGAAGTCTTGGCCAGGCCAGGCGGATTGGGGGGCAGGAAGTGAAAGGCTGCAGTTAGAAAGCGCTGCTTGAGGCGGTCTCTCCAAGCGCCTCTGAACTTGATCAGATGTTCTGTTTCCTACAGAGAGATGGCGGCCAGGCTCAGAGGCTGCCTCAAGGCGTAGACTTGGGGGCTCGGCCCTGTACGGGACGTGACAATCACAGCCATCTTTCTCTCGGCCTTTTCTTTCCACTCTCACTCTCTTGCATTCTTTGCAAATGCCCTGCCGGACAAAAAATGAGTGGATTCATAGCCTTGTCTGAACCTGGTCATTATGTCCAGAAAGACCTTGCACCAGACAGGAGGGGCTGTGTGATCCCACACACAACCCTGGAAAGTAAATCCTTAAGAGGTAAGAAGTCCCCGAGGTCACTACGCGCCCTTCTCTGGGTAGGAGTAGAAGGGAGCAAAGCCTTGGCTGTTCAGAGGGAAGAAAATTCCACCTCAGTCCTCATTCCCGCCTCCCACTTTTGCGTTTGAAAATGTTGAGAATTCGAAGCTGGTCAGCCCTGTGGTTTGAAAACCGCGGTGATCCTGTGTGTGTCTAGTGAGTTTGCTAAGCAGTGTGTTTAGTGTGTTGTGTGCATGTTTTGTGTACACAGGCTAACTGTATTCTTTGCATGTTTAGCATTTATCCTGGTGCATGTGTTTGCTGTGTAATGTGCGTGTATTTATCCTGTTGTGTTTAGTTTGATGTGTGCCTATATTTAGCGTTCTGTGTGTAGTTCGTTGTGTCACTGGGTTGTGTGTGCTTACTGTTGTGTTTAGTTGTGTGCGTGTTTAGTGTGATGTGTGCGTGTTTACCGTGTTGCGTGCGTGTTTCCTGCTGCGTGCTTGTGTTTACTGTGGTGTTATATGTGTTTGCTATGTTGTGTGCGGCGTGTCGTGGGTGGGGGGTGGCGGGGGCAGCGGCTAGTGTAGCCACTACTCACAAATTATAGTCAACGCTTGGCTCAGACGGAAGTAAGGGAGATCGGCTCTAATTGTAATCGTTTCTCCTCGTTTGGGTCTCGGCCGGCCGGCAGCAGCTCGGGGCACAGAGGCGAGCTGGCCGGCCTGGGTCCGGGGTCTCGGGGCCATCAGGGCCCACAGTGGCGTATGGAGAGGACGCGGCTAATGGGCCGTGAGCGTGGAACAGCTGCGCTTGCCCCTGGATCGGCGCCCTGCGGCCGCCGACGGGACACATTCTCGGGGTGGTGAGGCGGTAGGGCCCAAGCCGGACTGGATGTCCAGCGTCGCGCCGACGGTGGGAACGATCCTCGCCGGGCAAAGAGTTCATTTGGCCAAAGCGGGTAAAGCGCGCACCGGGGGTGCTTGCCCGCTTCAGGCCGGAGGGAAGACGGGAAGAGGCCGAGCTCTGCCCCGCCGGTCACCGGCTCGAGCCCGGCTCCAGTTCCCCACAGCAGCGCAAGCCCCGCGGAGCCCACTCGCGGGCGCCCGGCCGCCGCCGTCGCCTCACCTGCCAGGCGTCTGGCCACGGCCCAATCAGCGGCGGTCGCTCGGCCGCGGCTGCCATGTTCCCCGCTCCGCGCTGCCAATCAGTGTGGCGGCAGCCAATGGGCTGCAGGGCCGGGGGTCAGGTGACCGTGGGCCAGCTGGCTCCCCATTGGCGCGCGGCGCGCGGCCTCCCGCTCGGTTTATGTGAGAGGAGTGAGTGATTGACTTTATCAGTCCAAGGACATTACTCTGGAGGCGAAGAGGCTGGGACTCGCGCGGCGAGCGGCGAGGACCGAGCCTGCCTCCTGTCCGCCGCCCGCCCGCCGCCCGCGAGCTGGCTCTTCTACTAAGCGCAGCTTAGCCCGGAGGCCGGTGCCGAGGGAGCCTCCTGGCCCCGCGGTTCTGCGCTCTCGGGGAGAGGAGGGGTGCCCGGGACAGGACTGGCAAACTCCGCCCTCCACTTATTATTTTGCTTATTTTTCTTTGTGCGCGCCTGTTAGTTTGTTAAACCAGATCTAGTCCCAGAGTCTTTTCTCCTCCCTTCTCCCCCCTCCTTCTTCCCCCCTCCTCCCCCCTCCTGCTCCTTCTACTTCCCCTCCTCCCTCCTATCCCTCTGCAGGAGACTCTCGCAGCGACGGAAAGTTGCAGCCCCTGGTACAGCCTCAGGGGTCTCCCGGCAGTGTCCAACCGCCGCCACCCCTCTCCGACTTCGGCACTTCGGAGATCTCCTCCTTCGCCCGCACCCTCGCTCATTTCAGCCGGATCGCCTGTACTCAGAACGCCCCACCCATGACGATGCTCCTGGACGGAGGCCCGCAGTTCCCCGGGCTGGGAGTGGGCAGCTTCGGCGCGCCACGCCACCACGAGATGCCCAACCGCGAGCCGGCGGGCATGGGGCTGAATCCCTTCGGGGACTCACCCCACGCCGCCGCCGCCGCCGCCGCCGCCGCCGCTGCCTTCAAGCTGAGCCCCGCCGCGGCTCACGATCTGTCTTCGGGCCAGAGCTCGGCGTTCACGCCGCAGGGTTCGGGTTACGCCAACGCCCTGGGTCATCATCACCACCACCATCACCACCATCACCACGCCGGCCAGGTGCCCAGCTACGGCGGTGCCGCCTCCGCCGCCTTCAACTCCACGCGCGACTTTCTGTTCCGCCAGCGCGGCTCCGGGCTCGGCGAGGCGGCCTCGGGTGGCGGGCAGCACGGGCTCTTCGCCGGCTCGGCGAGCAGCCTGCATGCTCCGGCTGGCATTCCCGAGCCCCCCGGCTACCTGCTCTTCCCTGGGCTGCATGAGCAGGGCGCCGGGCACCCGTCTCCCACAGGGCACGTGGACAACAACCAGGTCCACCTGGGGCTGCGCGGGGAGCTGTTCGGCCGTGCCGACCCGTACCGCCCAGTGGCCAGCCCGCGCACGGACCCGTACACGGCCGGCGCGCAGTTCCCTAACTACAGCCCCATGAACATGAACATGGGCGTGAACGTGGCGGCCCACCACGGGCCTGGCGCCTTCTTCCGTTATATGCGGCAGCCCATAAAGCAGGAGCTGTCTTGCAAGTGGATCGACGAGGCTCAGCTGAGCCGGCCCAAGAAGAGCTGCGACCGGACCTTCAGCACCATGCACGAGCTGGTGACACATGTCACCATGGAGCATGTGGGGGGCCCGGAGCAGAACAACCATGTCTGCTATTGGGAGGAGTGCCCCCGCGAGGGCAAGTCCTTCAAGGCGAAGTACAAACTGGTCAACCACATTCGAGTGCACACGGGCGAGAAGCCCTTCCCATGCCCCTTCCCGGGCTGCGGGAAGATCTTTGCCCGCTCCGAGAACCTCAAGATCCACAAGAGGACCCACACAGGTAAGGGGGAAGGCAGGCGGGCGCGGGATTCACCGCCGCACCGCTCCACGAAGCCGACTTGCTGCGCGAGGGAGAGGGGAGGCGGCCAGAGAGAGGGGCGGCGCCCCGCCAGGGCCGTTCGGAAAAGAAGCGCTGTCAGTGTCCCTCCACCTCTCGCCCTCCCCGCCCCGCGGCGCTTTTGCCCACTTCTAACTTCCCCGGGCAGACAGCTCTGCGGTCTCAGGAGCTAATTGGAACCTTCTCGCGCCCAGGAACAAACTGGCGCCGCCTCTTTTTGTCTCTCTTTCTGGGTTACTATGAAGGGACTCCGATGTGTTGAGAGCATATTGCTTACAAGCGACTTAGCTCTCGGCACACATTCGGGGAAGGCAACCATACAAATGCTAATGAAAACTAACTTTCGGTTACTTCCGCTCTTTTTTACCCTTGATTGGCACATCTCCTAATTAAATGACTGATACTTTTGTCAAACTATTTTTATTTGGAGTTCCAGGTTCAATTCAGTCTTCCGAGAGAAAAGCTCAAGTAAAAAAGGCACCACAGTTTCGTGGCTTGTTGAGAACATCTTGTAAAACTGTCTGGAGCCCTTAGATTTATCTAGTTTTCTCTTTTCCAACGTTAAGTACGACGACCTAAGCTTTTTAATACTGGGTTCAGAAAAACCGCTGCATTTGAAAGAGGCAAATTAAAAGGTACAAAGAAGGAACCGAATGGGATTGTCCCGGCTCCGGTCCATTGTCCCGCCCGGGCTGGGTTACATCGCCGAGGTAGCCGTAGAACGTGGCCGCGCGTTGGGAGCCCCGGGCCGGCTGGGGTGGAACCACAACTTAGGGGAAACTTTGGAGGAGCCAGGGGCTTTCGCATCCTGCGGGAGAACAAAGGGACCGGCAGGTTCTGGGCTGGCCCTGCCCCACCCCCGCCCCCGACCACCACTCCCCAACCCAGCACACTCAACCGGCGCTCTCCATTTTCTCTAGGGAAAAGAGATGCCACAGCCGCCCCCAGTCGGCGCTTCCTCTCCGGGAAGACCGCAGGGCGCTCAGTCTCCCGCTGCTCGGCCCTAGGAAACTCCCGACCCTGACCATATTCCCCCCCACTTTGCATTTTCGCCTTTTGCAGGTGAGAAACCTTTCAAATGTGAATTTGAAGGCTGTGACAGACGCTTTGCCAACAGCAGCGACCGCAAGAAGCACATGCATGTGCACACCTCGGACAAGCCCTATATCTGCAAAGTGTGCGACAAGTCCTACACGCATCCGAGTTCCCTGCGCAAGCACATGAAGGTAATTACCTCTTTATTAGCGGTCGGCGGTTTATAAACACTCGGCCCGACACCGGGCCGCGGAACGGAAGCGCCCGCGCTGCCAACCCTGTATCCTCCACGTTAAATCCGATTTGCTCCAGCGGTGACACCTTGAACCCATTTTGGGGACCCGGAGGGGGGCGGGGGAGAGCACAGTGGGGAGGAGGAGGGAGCGGAGGGAACAGTCGGTTGTTTACTGGGAAGCTCTAACCGAGCTCGCCAGGGTTTGAGGTTGCAGTGGCCGCCTCTTCCCGGCTCAGCCCGCGGTGGGAACCTAGAGTGCCCGCGCCGAACCCGGGGGTGGGTGGCTCATTCGCTCTTCGGCTTCGGGTAAAACAATAGGGCCGAGCAGCGCGGTCTGATTCCCACGTATTTGTCTGAGACCTCGCAGCGCCCAGGGCGCCTGTGCCACCTTTCTCTGTACCTGCTTTCCCAAGCCGAAGTCGGCTTGGTGAAACCTGGGCCAGGAGTGAGTATTTTATAGGGCCCCAAAGACTAAGTGCTTATCCTACTCCATCTGCGGAGAAAGCATTTTTGAAGGGGCATGAATAAAACAGAGTGCTTAATTCCTTTTCCATAATGCCAATCTTAGGACTCAAACCGTTTTGTTGGCGAACATCTCCAGTTTTCTAGACATCGGTAATATGGAAATTAAAAACAAAAAAACAAAAATCAGCAGCATTTCTCTTTTAAGTGGGTCACTGGGCGGTCTTGCTCTTACAGTGCTCGAATTCTGCTCTTGTTTTTGCTTGCACAATGCCAGTTGGAATTATATTCATTATAATATATACATGTTAATTTTAGGTTCATGAATCGCAAGGGTCAGATTCCTCCCCTGCTGCCAGTTCAGGCTATGAATCTTCCACTCCACCCGCTATAGCTTCTGCAAACAGTAAAGATACCACTAAAACCCCTTCTGCAGTTCAAACTAGCACCAGCCACAACCCTGGACTTCCTCCCAATTTTAACGAATGGTACGTCTGAGGACAAACACAAACACAAACCCTGTTAACCATAGAATGGACCAAATGCATTTTAAAAAGAAAACTGAGACCAATCAGATGGAAATGGAGTTTTAAGGCACGAGGCCACATATAGGGCTACATCTTGTTAATTGCAATTGTCCAGGAAGGTTTTGGGGCAAGATCCAAAAGTAGCCATGCCCTTTTCTCAGGATTAGAAAATATGTTTTGGCATTTGAAGGGTTTAAAAAAAAAGATCTTTTCACTGCTTTTTCCTCCCCTTTCTCTTGCTCTCTGCACACCCCCATCCCTGAACTCCTTCAGTTCATTTTAACATTTGTCCTGTTTCTTGAGAGGAAGTTATAGAAGGCTTGTTGGTGGTGGTGATGTTAAACTGATGGAAATTCTTCGCCTTAGTGGTGATTGTCTAAACTCTCACAGTCTTAAACCGTGCCAAAGTCCTGTTATGTCTTGAACTTTTCCTCAAAGCATTACACTTGTGAATGTATTTTTGTCTAATGGGGTCGAAAATGTTGTTCAGTATTCTTTCAGGCTGAGGATGTGATGTTACTCTACACAGATTGTGACGTTTAGTATACAGTTGCCTTTTGTAATAACTTTTTTTTGTAAATACATATCCATTGATGCCATATTTATCGTTTGTAATTTAATTATTGCTACAAGTGCCGGGAACAGAACAATATTTATGGATAAATGTTTTCTAACAAATTCTGTACAGCTTTTGATTATAACTGCTTTAGCATTAAATTTTATTGTTTTGAAAGAAGAACACAATTTACAATTTTTGAACCACTGACTCCTTTCTCTTGTTTTGTAACAGCCTCCTTCTACAAAGGAGACATGAACAAATGAAATCTTGTTTGTTGGTATTTATAACTCACTCGGATCCCTTTTTTAATTGTTAAATTATTTTTCTATTGCAGTATAGATTCCTTACAGTGTCAGTTTCCATCTGGGAAGACCCTCCTTTCTTTATCTCTAGCTCAGATGGTTGTTTAACTGCGAGTTTAAATGTGTTTGTCCTGGATTTTCAGCATGCAAATCAAATATTACTGATCAATTCAGTTAGTGGCCATGACATCTCAATCTTGTACTTCAAAGACTGAGAAGCTGGATTTAATCATCCCTGCCCTACATATATGAGCATAAGGTAACCTAATGAGTTTTATGTCCCTTAGTTTTTTATTACCTTACATAAAAATGAACATTGCGGCAGGATGCATGTCTCCATTCTATTGAGAGATCACCCATCCCATATACCTATATATGTTTGTATCTATGACTTATCTAATCTGCCTATCAAATCTATCTAGCTATCTATATATTTTCAAAAGTAAGCCTATGTCTGAAACAGTGGTGATGAGTAAGGCCAGTTGAGCCGTGCTTAATTATGGTTAAAGTGCTTCTTAAAGAAACCATAGACCATTTACAATTTCGGAAGGCAAAGGCTGATTTGTTTTGCTGTATATAGTTCAATTCATAATTATCACAATTATTCATAACATTTTTATAGCGGTGTAATAACTGCAGCGGTTCTGAAATGATATGGAAAGAAAAACATCTGCGAAATATGTATTTTTAAAGTTCATGGTTTGTAGGCAAAGATGTTAAGAGCATTGTTTCCATTAAAATCAATAACAATGAAAAATGGTTGTTTGCTTTGTGATAAAATATTAACAATCCATTTAATCTTCAGCGAAGCAACTCATTTGGATGAGCAGTTCTTTTACAGTTGTTACATGAAAAAGAAACTGATTACTCTATTGGGGGGTTGGAGTGGGTAGACTATTGAGAGTTTTTTTTAAACTAATTTAGGGTGCTGTTTAATATTGAGCCCAATCTCTGCATGAATAACCAGCTTGCAAATCAGCAAATAGAATGGTTGAGATAAGGAACTGTAAAGAATTTAGAAATGTAATGAATAGGCTTAAGTACCTCCTTCCCTTGAAGGGGCAATGCTCTAGGTTTTTTGGTGGCAGTCAATTTGGTATTATACATAATCATTTTGAATTCTAGAATTTTGTTTATTGTTCTTTTTGAAAAAATAAAGTCTTGGCACGTCTTATTTATGTCATAACATTTTTGTATTTGGTGCCTGATTTTTTTTTCATGTTCAAATAAACCAACCTTAAATTGAAGTGCTCAGAGAACTTCTGATGATTAAAAGAAACTTTGATTCCCTGGATATAGTTGAAGCAGTCTATTTTAAGTAATCTACTGATCTTTGTCCACAGACAATTAATTATTGACAGTTTCTAATTGAAAACTGCTTTGGATGCAATTTTTCGTTTGTGGAGAATGGGGTCTTTTTGCACTTTCCTCCATTAATAGACAAGGCAAGGGATGACTTCACAAGTGATGATCAGGTAACCTGGTCAGTCTATCACTCCTACCCCAGACATTCCAATCTTGACCTTGACATTGAGGGTGCTGGACCAAATTCCTATTGCAGGATTTTTCCTTCGCTTCAAACCAGAAACCGTTTTAAATGCTCAGCAAGCTTTCAGAAAGTGTATATTCATAAGATTGGCTCTAAATGTGTTCCAACTGAAGTTTAAGTAGTGTTTTTCTTCTGAAACATGCATTGAACTTCCACAGCTTACTGTTTACTCCATGAATTCCCTCTCCACCTCCAACTTAACCTAACCTTAAATGGGAGCAGAGTGATGGGTTGGTTGCAAGATTTTTTTGGAAACTTGCTTCTCTTCCCCCCATTAAATATGTTAAATATCTCCATAGGAGACATAAAGAAGAGTCTAATCTTTCCTTAGTAGGCTTCCAATTATTCTACCATAAAATTTTACAGTAAAGCATTGTGTCCTAAGAGGGGAAGATGCCAATTAACAATGATGATAACCCATATTAAGATAACGTAAAAGCTTTGCCTTCTACATGGTTTCCTCTAATTTGGGTGTAGCATCATATTTCTCAAACAGTGTATGTCCTCTGCCCTTGTCATTTGTTGCCAAGAAAAGTTTATTTTAGTAGAAAACTTTTCCCAGATTTTCTTCCTATAATCTGACTCTGAGAGTGCACATTCACATTCTTGAATTTTCAGTAAATACCTTAAAGAATAAGCACCCGCCCGCGCCCCCCCCCGCCCCCCCAACAAACAAAAAACCTTGCAACCCTAAAGATGGATTGGCTGGGAACCACGAATGCAGCTGAACTCTTAGTGATCTACCTGTTATTTTCCCTCACCTGGTAAGACCTTTGTTAAAAGTCCGTTATCTTTTCCAAAATGAGTGGTTTAGCTTAAGATTTTCACTGTTGGGTGGGGAAGGGGGAGGTGTCTATTTCCACGCAGACGGAAGTCTGGCCTTCATCCAGTTTGGAAGGTTAAAGATCAGGGTCCAGGCTAAGCAGGGCAGTCGGTCTCAGCTACTGCGAAGGTTGGAGAGCGAGCAGGCACCGCCTCCGCTCACAAAGTCTCGCAGCAAAGTTGTGTTCAGGACTTCCTCGCCCCTCCCCCCTTCTCGCCGCCTGCTGTCTCCTTGCCTCTTCGCCCCTGGCTCCCTCTCCTCCCCCTATAAAATCCCCAAAACAAACGAAAAAAGTCTAAGGGCCTCTTTCCACTTAAGTTTCTGTAAGACTCGCCAGCGGCGTGCCCATCCCCTGATGAGCGGGTTCTCTGGCTGGTTTTCTCTCCGGCTGGCTGACCCTCGAGGCTCAGGTATCTAGTGGGGCTTTGCCCTGGGATGAAGCCAGGCGCTTCGGGAGTCCGGGCTCCGCTCGGCGGTACTCAAGCCCCTCGCCGGGGCGTCCCACGGTCCCTGTCCACACACCAAGTTCTTGCAAGTCCCGGTCGAAGCTCGGGCCAGGGGGAGGGGACCTCATTTCCTAGGGTCAATTCTCTCGCGGTCTCGGCCCGCTGACCCTTTGACCTCCACCTACAGGGCCCTTGGCGGCCGTAAGCCGGCGGTCGCCCGGCCTCCGAGGACGCTTCGCGCCCCATCGCCTCCCGGCCTCATTAGGCCGGCGGGGCTGTAAAGCAGGAATCAGCCGCTGCCTAATCCGGACCTGGGGTCAATACGAGCCCAAACAATGGTGAGCTCCGAAGGCCACAGCGTAGCGCTGGCCGCAAACTTTGTATTCCATTCATTTTCTTAAGGTGGTGGGGGTAGAGGGATGGAGGGTGCTACTCGTACGCCCGAAGGCCGCTCCTGGCTCCCGGGGCTCCTGAGCGAGCGCCCTCTCGCTCGGCCCTCTGGTCTCTTCGCAGCGCCAGGGATTGGAGGCGGTGGCGAGGCCCGGGGCCTGGTTGGCGGCCCGCGCGAGGGCCCGAGGGCCGGCCCAAAGGGGGCCGCCCCCGCGCCGGGAACAGACTTTGAAGTGGGTTTTTAGCGCGCACGTGTGAGAGCCGGGCCAGGGCCGGAGCGGGGACCTGCTGGGAGGAAAGAGGAGGCTCGGGCCTGGGCCCCAACCCCTCCCCCGCTCCCCGTCGCTCCGGCCTTTTCAAGCCGCGGCCAGGGGCCCGCCAGCCTCCCCACCCCCACTCCCCCACTCCCGCGCCCGCGCCGCGCGCAGGCGCACACTCCGCAGCCGTCGAGTCGGATTTTGCTGCTAGGGGGTGGGGGGGAGAGTTGAAAGCGGCTGTGCAGCGCCGCGGCCTCCGCTGAGCCAGGAGGGAGGGGAGGAGAGGGATGTGGGAAAGGGGGGTTGAATTTGGGGCGGCTCTTGAGTCGTGAACATGGCGGCCGGATGCGAACCCCCGCGGAGCGCAGCAAAGCGCAGAGTGCGGGCTGCCGAACTGTTTTGTGGTTTAAACTCCCTTGTTATTCCTCAGCTCTGAGCGCCTCGCGGGAGAATGTAGGTGGTGGCGGCCGAACGCAAAATTGTTAAAAAAACGGAAGCGAAGAAGTTCTTCCAGAGCATTCTGGGCGTGGGAAGTCGGCGAGCCTTCTGGGTGTTGGGGTTCCCACGGGACTTGGACATGAAACCCACCAGAGGCCGCCCCACCCTCCCTTCCCGAGTTAAAACATTTCCCCCAGGCCCTCCTGCGTGGGGGATGGCATTTTGAGTTGTCGCGCCCGGGTCGGGGATTCCACAGCACCTTAGAGTCTCTAAAAATGCCAATGAGTGGACACTGTGTTCTCTTCCATGACAATGGCCGGGCCCGTAGGGGTGAGGGGCACGTATGCACCTTTTCCACATAAAATGCCCCGGCTTATCGACAGATGTACTGTTGCGAGTTTGAACCCTACAATTTGCACAGGCCCCATTTTCTGCGTATCTCATTTAAACGTGGGCCTATGAAAAATGGCACTGTCGTAGCTTTTGTGTGTGCTCTAACAGCTGGTGGTCTTGCGTTAAGGAAAAAAAAAAAAGCCGCGATCCCGAAAACTTTCATTAAGTTTTTGCTTAACTGCCGTAATGCTGGCGTGTGCAAGAACCCCTGGGAGCTCTGAGATCTCGAGCTCGTGTTTTCTCTGCAGAAAAATGTTGCAGATTCACCTTCAGCTGTGTCGTGGGAAAAAAAATGTGGGATAAAAAAGTGTGGTTATTGACCCCTGGCTCTTCTAGGAAAATAAGCGGCACTAATTCTTTCAGGTTGTGTGTTCGTCAAGGCCAACAACGAAACGAAAAAGCAGCCTTCTTGGGGCTGCCCACTGTTAAGCACTGGGGCTCCCGAAGGTGTGGGGCAGTTCCCGTGGGCCACCTTGGGAAGGGCCCCAGGTGGGTGGGCAGGTCATTAGCAAAGCTGGCCCAGATCTGGGGGAAATCTGCAAAACAGTGCCTTTATCTGCAGAGAACAATTGATGGGGTTGTCTTTCCTCCTTTTCAG